TAGGGCAGGGGTGTCCACACTCAGTCCTGAAGGGCCAGTGTCCTGGAGAGTTTTGCTCCGACCCTAATTAAACACACCTGTACCAGCTAATCAATCTCTCTTGGTATACTAGAAACTTCCAGGCAAGTGTGTTGAAGCAGTTTGGAGCTAAAGTCAGCAAGACAGCGGCCCTCCAGGACCGACTTTGGACACCCCTGGCATAGGGTGTCTTAATGTTTTAAATGCATTATATGCTATTGTTGAAATATAAGGCAAATATCATGACAAAACTGAGTGTATTTACTTGGACAATACACAAAACTATCAAAATAATTTCATATCTTTTTTTATTTGTTAATAAATCTAAGAGGTTAAATCTATAATAAACAAATAAACTAGCTGTTTAGGTTCTTGTGTGACCTAACATGCCATTGTAGTCAAGTAGAATAATTAAAAGATTGCGCATACAAGCATTCTGTGTTTATGTGAGCGTTCACCCTTGTATCAACACCGCAAATGAGTTGATCCTAAAGGATTAACAGAGTATTGGCTCACCCTATTACAAAACAAGAGAAAATGAGGCATGTAAATAAAGCGCCGCTAATGCAGAACATACCATAAAATTACATGCCCTACATTGGATTAAAGCAGCGCTACGAGATGCAGCAGACCAATGATTATGCGCTGCAGAGGAGGAATCTCTATAAAAGGCATTTTTGTGAGTGTGTTTATTTATTTTTTGCATTAAACATGTTTGACAAAGCAACAGAGGGCGGGACAGACAGAAAGACAAGCATCTAAAGAAGGAGAAAATCACCCAGGGTGTTCTTCTCTGGCTCTTCTGTGCTCCCAGAATGGTGTGGTCATGGCATGATGTATAAATAGACTGAGCGTGTGAGCAGGGGAGGAGCGTGCACATGTATGAGCGTTTGTGGTGTGTGTGTGTGTGTTGAGAGTCAGGGATTTGCACATACAGGGTCGTCTGTCTTTACTCTGGTCGTGTGAGCTTTGGATATAAATAGACATTGTGTGTGTGTACTTGATTATTCTGAATTCTTGTCTGGGTTTGGCAGACAAACCTATTGTGGCTTGGTGGAAGTACTTGGGATGGTAAAGATAAGAGTGATTTAATATTATTACCATAATCAGATGATGATGATGATGAATGCATGTTTGTTTTTTAACATATACAGTTGCACTAACGTGGGGACCCTGCAGTCAAACTGCAGTTGGGGTTAAGTTAGAGGACACACTAACACAATGATATGAAAAAAATGTGTGTGCACAGAAAAGTTAAACATGAGTCTTGAAGTGAATTTTGAGTAAATGATTGGCTCAGGAGGAAGGCCTGGCCTAGTAGAATCTAATATGGGTGTCTATTAAAGCTGGCAGGTGTTAGCAACCTGAAGAAAACTGGATTAGGAGATTGGAGCACATTGCTATGGTACATGAAGGCTTAGACCGGGGTGACACTCAATAGCTACTTTTCCATCCACCTATTTATTGCACATAAAAACGGTTTATGGAAACATCAAGATGCATTTAAAATTTGAAAATGTGCATAACTAAGTAGGATAAACTTTTTATTCGTTAAGAATAGAAAAGATAAAAGATGTGCATAAACTACAATGGAAACACTTTTATCGAACAAATTTCAGTATGCGCATGAAAAAAAGTCATGTGATTTTGTTATAGGAGATCATGTGATGATAAATATGTGTGTGAAAGGACAAACCAGCAGAATAAGCACACTGTAAAACATCTTAAATGTTATTTTGGTCTTTCAAAAATGCCTTAGACATTTCAGTATTAGTGTTATTATATTATTATGGACCTCCAGAATCAAGAGTGTCTGTGCTCTGCATCTCACGCCTTCAAACGCCATTGCGTGTTCACTGCGTGAGGATGGAAACTGCATTTTTGGATGGAAACATAGCTATTGACCTTATTTCTCACTTTAAAATGAACAGAAATTGAGTTACAGTAAGAGAATATTAGATATTCTCTTTAAGATGTTAAGGCTCAATGAATCTCAATTCTATTTTTTAACCCTTCCCCTTGGCCCTTGAAACAGAGTGTGAAGGGGAAGGGCTAAAAATTTTACCCCTAAGAAATAGGACACCATTAGAACACCTGCACACGTCATCATATGTCATTGCAATCTCTTGGTTCATATGAGATTGACGATCATGACCGCAGTAATTATTCCAGTTGTGTTATTTATTTGCTATTTATCTTTAGGAAATCACTGAAGGCAACGATATCATGTTATCATAACGATATAATGTGCCAATAAGCTCGACTGTACTGTGCATTTACAGTGTATTCGAGTGTCAGAATGTTGGAGGACTGCTATACAGGAGTTGTTGTTATTATTATGGATTATAGATAGCGAAATTTAGCGTTTTGTTTTTGAAAGCATGATGGTAAAACATGAACTCTGTTATGAATGTATTAAAACATATGCGTTTTTGTTGTAAAAATTCGTAATAATGACAAATAATACTAATTTGTAGAATTCCTGACTTCCGTGTGCAGCCATTTTTCCATTGTAGATGGTGTATTCTGGGAAATTGTGGGTGTGGTCCTGAAAAATCTCAGTTACGAAGGGTATTTAGCCCTTCCCCTTAGCCCTACATCTTCAAGCTAAAGAGAATTGGGACACCCCTACCCCTTTACGCGAAAGCACAAAATGAGGGGTAGGGTTAAGGGCAAGAATTAAGGAGTAGAATTGGGATTGGGCCTAAATGACTTTTATAGCCTATCTGCTTGTGAAGTGGTCACATATGGAATACTGCAATACAGCAAATAGAGTCATTTTATATTTATGTTGACCTAATGGGAATTTTTAAAGGTGTAGTGTATGATTTCAGTTCTATAATTGAAACCAACTGAAACAATTATTGCTTCTAAATAAGTTTCCCAAACACTCCACATCTGCAGATATTTTTGATGGAGAGTTTGCTCTAAAACAGGTAGTCCCACCACAAAGTCGTGCTGTTGGTTAAGCCAGAATTTGACATGTCAGCCCACTCAAACAAACAGAGCAATGCTTTATTGACACACTGTGCTTTTTGGGAATTCAGTTTAATTATAGATTACTCATCTGATTATATTGGGATGGGGAGAGTTTTAACATAAAAAAAGAATTACTTAAATGCTTAGTTCATCCAAAAATGACAATTCATTATTATTCTTGTATTATTCTCCATCCAAGATTTCATTGTTGGGCCTGTGAAGGCTTATTATGGGTTTGATTCACAGTCCTATGGATCCAATAAGATAGGGCCATCTATACAAAAGGCCATCATTGTATAGGGCCATCTATTGTATACTGTAAAAATACTGGGTTCCACACAATCGATTTGTGTTGGGATAACATGAAGAAATTAAGTTAACCTATTATGTGTTTTTTACAAGTGGATTAAATATAAAACAATTAGGTTGTTCTTAAAAAAAGAGTGTATGGACTAAAAACGTTGGGGCATATCTTAAGATATCTTTTATATGTTTCATGGAAGAAATAAATATATATGTGTCGGGGATGTCATCAAGTTAAGTACGTTTAATAATTGACTCCCATTGTTTTGTTTTTACTGTTTTAAAAGCAAGCGCAACTGTCCAGAGCTTGACAGTAAGCACTGCTAGATGGTTATAACTGCCCAGGAGAGTAGATGTTTAATATGTGGCATTCCTAAGGCTGATTTATACTTCTGCGTCAAACGCCGGCGTATGCTACGGCGCTGACGCATAGCCCTTCGCCGTGGCTATCGGCGTCACTGACGTGCACCTCTCAAAAAATGTAACAACAGGTCGCAACAACGCATAGCGCAAGCTCTGTGATTGGTCGGCTTGGTAGCGCTGATGAGTCTGGTCGGGACCGAGAGCCGCGCGAATGGCGCAAACCCAATGTAGCGATTGTTTACAAGTGTGGAGTCCCATGAAGGAGCTCCGGATGGAAAGTTTTGTTTTGTGTTTACCTCATAGTTAAAGTTGTTGCACGTCCGCCGGTTCCTGCCTCAAAATGAGCGAGTTTGAGCCACTTGTACATCCCGGAAGTGTTCAGGAAACGCAAAAAAGCAGCGAAGAAACTCGACACTGAGGAAGATTTACACCTCACTGCCAACTAGCGTTTCGGAAGTGTTAATGCAGACAGACAGAGACAGCGCGCAGAAGTATAAATGCACAGCCACGCGCATTGCATGCGCCGTGGGTTACGCCGGTCACTTGACGCAGAAGTATAAATCAGGCTTTACGCCGGTCACTTGACGCAGAAGTATAAATCAGGCTTAAGTGAGTACCCTCTAACATGATTGCTTATGTCTTAAGTGAATATAACAGCTGATGAAGAATACATATGTATCAGTGACTGAAGCCTAATTCATCAGCTGGTATGTCTACTGTCTATGTTTACCGTTTATCAGAGAAGTTTCATTGTATTTATTTTTGCTGTTTCTCTTTGTTTCTTGCCATTTTCTATGTTTTAACTTTATATTTGTTAGGCTAGTAGTTTTTGTTGTGGTATTGGAATTGTGAAATTGTAAAAAATATTAGGGTCATAATAAACATATTAAATTACACGATAACTTGATTCCAAAACAACTTAAATACTTTTTGTTGTTGTTGTTGTCGTGGGGGCAGTAAAAAATATTGGCAAGGCAAGTACAAATTTAAACCTCTGGCCTAACAGGACCAGTAGTACTTAGCACAGAGTCTCATGCTTGTTATTGTCTGAACAACTATGTGAATGAGAACTGGAAGGAAGCCCGTGTGATTGGTTTTGGGTGCACTTGACCCCTGTTGGACGTGCTTCTTGTGGGCTGTTTTTAAAAACAAAAAATCAACAACAGCTAGATGGAGCCTGTTGTTGTCAACCATCATGACCTGTTCCTAGTTGAAAAGCCTGTGCCCTTAAATACTTCTCTGAACCTTGTTGTTATTTATGTGGACAGTCGTCTATACCAGAGGGTGTGTTTTTTTGTCAGTGACTCATTTTCCTCAATGTTTCCGTCTTGTTTTAGGCCACGGAAAAAACCACAAGGATGCAGCGTCTGTTCGGGCCACCCATCCCATCCCTGCCGCTTGTGGCATCTACTACTTTGAGGTGAAGATCGTAAGCAAAGGAAGGGATGGGTAAGTGCAATCAGCTTCTGTTTGAGGCATTTGTATACAGTCTTTTTCTGAGATCTGTCTATAATTTGAGAAAATGCATAATCTTGGAACTTTAAAACAAAGACATTTCAAAGGAAGCATAAATAAAGATAATTTTACGCACTATTTCAATATGATGTTCTAAATTTGAGAAATTGATATTGTAATTTGGAGAATCAGCACCTTCAAGTCCGAGGCCTTGATTTATCTATAGGTAAAAAAAGGAGAGCCCTTATCCCAGGTGGGGGAGTTCAAGTATCTTGGGTTTTGTTCACGAGCGAGGGATTGATGGAACGTGAGATTGACAGAAGGATCGCTGCAGCGGCAGCAGTAATGCGGTTGAAGTACCGGACCTTTTTGATAAAGAAGCAGCTGAGCCGAAAGGCAAAGCTCTCAATTTACCGGTCAATCTATGTTCCAACTCTCACTAATGGTCATGATCTTTGGGTCATGACTGAAAGGACAAGATCTCAGATACAAGTGGTCAAAATGAGTTTCCTTCGCAAGGTGGAAGGGCGTACCTTTATAGATTTATAAGCCTTACGCTTATAGAGGTCTTATTTCCTGGGCTTATAGATGTACCCTTATAGATGTCACCCAGGAGGAGCTTGGAGTAGAGCTGATGCTCCTCCACATCGAGAGAACCCAGCTGAGGTGGCTCAGGCATCTGTTTCAGATGCCTCCTAGACGCCTACCTAGGGAGTTGTTCCAGGGATGCCCCACTGGGGGGAGGCCTTGGGGAAGACCCAGGACATGCTGGAGGGACTATGTCTCTCTGCTGGCATGGGAACACCTTGCGATCCCGCCGGAGGAGTGGAAGGAAGTGTCTGGGGAGAGTGAAAACTGTGGTTCTCTCCGAAGACTGCTGCCCCTGCAACCTAGCCCCGGAAAAGTGGATGAAAATGAATGATATTGTGATTTTTGTTGAGATGTTCCTCTTTTTTCTCAAAGTACAAGATGTTTTTAGATAATTCTCAAATCACGATGGAGAAAACATCATAGCATTTCTCACAAATGTGAAGTTTACGCAGCTTGAGCACAGCTGTCATTAAATCGAACTGACAAAGGCTAAGAGATATTCAAAAGGCATTTTCACAGTCTCTGAATAATAATTGCACTGAAACTTTTTTCCCTGTGTCATGCATGAGTCAGTTGTTGCCAAGTATTAAATGCCTTTGGTTTAAGGATATTATTGTCAAAAAATAAATTACAAATTGTCCCCACCCTGTCCTGTAACCACTTCGCAATACGATTACTAAATATATCTGACTGGATCACTCATGTTCTGCTGGGTCATCTAACTGCAACTTACAGGTTGTGCCTAAAACTGTTAAAAAGTGTTGAGTCATCCTTTAGTCACTGTAGTCCAATACTCTGGAAAACTCTCTCTCAGACAAAAACTTTTTTAGTCAATTCAGTCACCATCAATTTCATTTCAAATTGTGCAGTAAACTGTTATTTGCTGCATTTCCGTGGGTCACACCTATGCTGCACTGACTGACAGAAAGCTCTTTAGTTTGAAATTTTTTTTAGGTCTAGTAGCCAATCGTTAACAGGCCATGTATTTCCACAAATTTGATTAAAGAAGTCTAAAAGCTAACTTTATGTGATCCTTTTGCTGTTCACAGTACCCAGAGTGACCCAGAGAACTGGTAATCTATTGATACTTTCATCTGTAAAGATAAATCGAAAAGGATCTCTGCATTTTTCCCCGTCAGTTGTATGTACACCTTTACAATGTCAGTTATGTTGAATAAAAATAAAATAAAATAAAAATGAGCAATCACATTTACCACTGCTCTGATTTTAATGCGAAATTTAGTGCAAAATATGGGTTATCCCATGATCAGAAGTTTCAAAAACGTTGATCATATAAATTTCCAATTTGTGTTCATGTTGGTCATGTGAATTTTCTCACACTGATCAGCAGAAAAACTGCTTGATTCTCTTGCTTTTGGTTTAAACCTCTCAGCACTATTGACCTTGTAGCTAGAGATGAAATATAGAGATGTAAATTCTGAATATACTTTGCTGAAAATTAAAACAAACAAAAAAAAGTAATAAAGTAATTTTGTAGGACTTTTTTAATTTAATTCAAACTTAAACTGTAACTAAAATGATACTGATTAAAAAACACAACAAAATAAAAGACCCACTTTTTATTGACAGTAAAATTAGATCAAGTTGAGAGGTGTCATTATACTAGCGTTGTCACAACAGTAGCGCTATTGCAAGCAGCAAGAGCAAGTATACTACATAGAAAATTCAAATGTGCTGACAGTGTGTTCTTTGAGCAAACTTTGCTTTTCTGGTGTATATGCAGTTCATACAAATATAAATAAATAGATGTACATAATGTGGAATATTAAGCTATTTTAAGCTTTAATTCAAAATTCTGCTGCTTTTGCACTTTAAGGCTGATTTATACTTCTGCATCGAGTGATCGGTGTGACCCATGGCATCATATATACTTCTACATTCTCTTTGTGTTGCTCTGCAATAACACTTTCAAAACACTAGCAGGCTGTAGGTTTTTATGTTCCTCTGTGTCAAGTTTCTTCATGGGTGTTTAGTTTTATTCTGAACGCTACCTTAACATACAAGTAGCTAAAACTCGCTCATTCAGAGGCGGGAATTGGCTGTTGTGTAACAATATTGATCATAAGGTAAACACAAAACAACAGTTTCCATCTAGAGCTCCTTTACGGGACTCAACACATGAAAACAGTCGCTCCAATGGGTTCGCTCAACTCTCAGTCCCGCCAGCACTGGTCACAGCTACCTAGTCGACCAATCGCAGAGCTTGCGCTGTGCGTCGTTGTGATGAGTAGTTACATTTTTTTTAGATGGGCATGTCGACGTCAGCTTCTGCAAGGGCTATGCGAAGGCTGCGCCGGACCATACACGTGCGCTTGATGCAGAAGTATAAATCAGTCAATCAGTTGTCTGAGAGGCAACAAACTGCTCTTGCACAGCACAAGCCATTGAAATGAATGTTTTTTTTATAGCACTGTACATCACTTTTTCTGCGTCATGTGTGGAAGTCACTTCATATCGCACAATGACTATGGCTAGAGAAAGGTAAACTAGTGTGCTGAACACTGCTGCAACACATTTGGGGGTGTTTTTCTCTTTCAGACAAAAAGTACAGCAAATTTTCCCAAAACTTCGGTGTATCGCTTTATACTTAAAATGTCCCTGAAATTTCATTGTCCTCACCTCATGTTGTTATGTATATAAGAATCTTTCCAATACATAAATGCACACTTCATGTTATGTTTAATAATTTTATAATTGTATAATTTTTATGTATGCAGAGTTAACAATTAACACATTTTATGTTCAAACTTAACTATTAAAAATGATCTTTAGCTGAATTTAGTTACATGGTGGCTCTATCAGCAGCATAATGTATAGTTCAAGTGTGTTTTCAAAGTTTTGCAGTGTTGTTATTTTTAGTAAAGTGAACATTTGTCCTCTACCATTGGTGTTTGCAGGTACATGGGAATTGGACTGTCAGCCCAGGGGGTCAACATGAACAGACTGCCTGGTGAGTTAGTGTGCGTTTGTGCTTCTATGTTCACTGAAGGCTAGGTTTTAAGTCTTTTTTTCCGGTAACAGTATACTCAAGCCGTAGATGAGCACGGGTGAGTGAGTTCAACACATGCATAGAACCATCTAGTAGGCTTGTTCTGTTTTAGCATTCAACTTAGACCTGCACTGTTGTTTGCACACTTTCTTTGCACACAGAAAAATAGGCTATATGTGTATGGATATCTGTGGACTCTCTTGATGACAACATTTGTGTCATGAACAGTACATGGACTATAGTGGATGCCATATAAGTATACTTTGGGCTAAAGTTCCTCTTTATGCATGTTTGGATGTATTTTTATTGATATGATCACAAACGAATGACTGAAAACATGTGTATTTAGCCGCTGATTACTCAAAAATGGTTTTGACAGTAGTGGGGAAATATTTCTACACTTAAATATATGGAGTACATTTTAAAGTAGTGAAATCAAATATCAAGACAATGCAAGTAAGATTTCTCTAAATCTTTATAAAATACTCCTCACAAACACTTTTATTCTACTGTATGTTGAAATTCTTGGTTCTGATTGGTTGCAAGGTGTACATAAAATAAACTACACAGTATAAGGTATTGCTGTGCATAGTTTAAAAACTATGGCGAAAGGCTGAGATAGCCTCACCAAACTGGCTTGTGCCTAAACCATTCAGAGACTAAATATCATAAATGCGACGTTAGGTTCGAGGTATTTCCATCTCTTGCATTCACCTTTTGGTTGCGCAATTTGCAGATGGCCTTGTCCGTATTTACCGCCTCTCCCTTTTTGTTTAGTCGAAACCCGAAATACTACCAAACTGCAGAAGTTGTTCTTTCTCAACCAGGTAATTTGGTGCGCAACTCGCCATATATCCCCATCTCTCTCTTTCTCCACCATGCTGTCCTGTGATGACAACCATGCATAAGCATTTGTAGCCATTAAATAAACTATATTTAATATTTGATCCTTGTCTGCTATATAAGTGCATTGTTTTTATGATGGTATAACTGTGTTGAAACTGATACTGTTGCTATTTTTAGGTGCCGCAGTATACCATATTACTGTATTACCGCCCCAAGCCTAGTGTGAATCATGTATAAAAATAATATTCAAATTGCAAGCAAGTATGATTACAACAGAGCAAAGTAAAAAATAAAAAAAAAATGCTAAATTTACAGTGCTTTTTGGTTTACGGAGAGTCAAACAGTATTCAGTTACAGAAATTGAAAAATTAAATGTAAAACAACACTGTATACAATCCATATTCTTTATTGTATTAATAATTCAGTAAAATTGTTCTTCATTAAAGTTACAGATGTTGTACTTTCTTGTGCCTGAATGCTTCAAACTTTCTTGAAATGGCTTTAAAATGCATACAAATGCTAGAGTTTCACTCTGTTGTGGTTATACTTTGCAATGACTCCAAAAATCTCATGTATTCTCAATTGTTTATCAACTCAAGATTGCAGATCCTGCGATGTGATTATTGCACACACACATTGTGATATCGATGGTGAAATTATATATTGTGCAGCCTTACTACACAGGTAGTCCAGTCAGTTTTGATTACAATTCAAATAAATGCACTTCCTTTAAACATTATTAGTAATCATAGATACTCAGTGAGTTGCCAGAGCCTTCATTTCTTTGGTGTAATCTTGAGGATACTGGCGTGTGCTGCACCAGCAGCTGATGGGGATCAACCAACTCACTTATATGTTAAAAAATATTAGGTAGCGACTGCACGGTAGCGCAGTGCGTAGCACGATTGCCTCACAGCAAGAAGGTCGCTGGTTCGAGCCTAAGCTGGGTCAGTTGGCATTTCTGTGTGGAGTTTGCATTTTCTCCCAGTGTTGGTTTGAGTTTTCTCCGGGTGCTCCGGTTTACCCCCCACAAGTCCAAAGACATGCGTTACAGGTGACTTGGGCAAGCTAAAAATTGTCTGTGGTGTATGAGTGTAAATGAGTGTGTATGGATGTTTCCCAGTTATGGGTTGCAGCTGGAAGGGTATCCGCTGCATAAAAAACATATGCTGGATAATTTGGTGTTTCATTTCGCTGTGGCGACCCCTTAATAAAGGGACTAAGCCGAAAAGAAAATGAATGATTATTAGGTAGCTAACACATGTTACTACGAGCCATTAGATATACCTGTGTCATTTATACGAACACACACAATCTCTATCATGCATGCTTTCTCTCTGTCTGCCTCTGACTATAGTGATGTGATGCAAAGGGCAAAACAAGTTTTAACTTATCAATAGCTTGGCTAATGAGCACAAATAATAATCAATATAATCATTAACACTGTAATCACTTCATGGAGGCAGCTATGCTTTGCGTCGGGTAGTTCTTTACATCCCTGTTGTGCATTTAAAATTGATTATGCCTTACATATAAATTCCTTTGTAACAAATTAGTACAGTGCCTTATACAGTTTTCACATTTAAACATTTCATAGACACAAAAACAAAACATTTAAAATAAATATATTTGTTAATAGCAAGTATTCTTTAACTGGTTTCTACTGTAAGGAAAGAAAAGTGTATGCTGTTTATCACTTTATTTTATGCAAAGTCGCATAGAGGAACACTTCAGTTTACTTCAGTCACCTAATCTCTTGCACAAAATAATTTATTTAAAGGAACAGTGGTCCCTTGCTATAACGCGGTTCACTTTTTGCGGCCTTCCCACAATGTCGACGAAATTGCCGTTTTCTCCCCACAATGTCGACGAAACATTCTGCACCGTCAAAGGCACCTGTGGTAGCACCCAAAAGGCAGAGGAAGATGCTAACTATTGCACAGAAAGTTGAACTTCTGGTAGAGAAGCTACATGCTAAAGGAAGGTAGAAGTTACTCGGCTGTAGGGCACCATTAAGGAATAAATAAATAAAGATTAACTGGTTTTGATCTTTGGTTTTATTCTATAATACTAGACTTAGTTTTCTACGACGAGAGAAAAAATGTGAAAAAATGTTAATGTCTTCTGAGAAAAGTGTAAAGTGGGGGTTTTACAGCCTTAAAACATCTATAATATTTGTAAAAAGTAAAGCTGACTACTTTGCAGATTTCGCATATTGCGGGTTGTTTTTAAACCACTGTGAATTACGAGGGACCACTGTAATCGCAAAATACTTAATTTAGTTACTATTATATTCAAATTAATTATATTTTTGTGGGTGAGTAACTGATAACACATGCTAATACAAAGTTAAAAGAAGTTATTGAGTGGTCAGCATAACTTATGGTAAAGTGTAAGTTGTAGATGAACAGATAGGTCAATGCATTTCTGTACCCCACCAAAACAAATTAAATTCCCTTATTAGAAGTATCTTCATGTTGTTGGAGACGTAAAAAGTAGGGAGGAACTTGATTTTATCTGTGTTGTGAAAAGTGGTCATTTGTTACATACCAGAATAGAGGCTTTTGATTGGATGGGAGGGATTTGTGAAGCCAATATGTAAAGTTTTTTTTTAGGGGGAAGAGCTTTGAAGATTAAAGGAGAAGTTATTACTTTTTGATTAAACACTGATGAATCCCTTCATGAAAAGCCAACTTTGTGATTCACTTTTGGCTGTAGATTTTGTAGCCTAAGACCATTTATTTTCTTTTTTTCCCCGCTTCTTACACTTTTTAATATCTTTCCATCACACTCGGACTGTAATTCAGACAAGGAACATGCCTCAACATGTCCTGAAAAACACTAGCTGTGAGAATGACCTTGCAAATGCAGAGATATCTCAGGGTTTTTCTTTCAGTGCACCTCAATCTCAGGAAATAACTTTGTGATGTGTTTTTTTTTTTCTTTCTCCTGAGTCCTCAAAGGGAAGGAGAGGAAGGAGAGGAGACCTAGATCTCATTAACGGTTTCCCTCAATGGATTTTACCTGGCATCCAGAATTTTCTAAGATCACAAAGCCTACAAATTATTCATAGCTAAAAGCTAAAATTAATCAGAGAAAATCTTTTCACTCTCACAGAGCATCCATTCACACGCTCGAGGACGTCAATTGGACCAGTTCATTTAAATGACTGACCGGAATGAAAATCGGCAAAATAACCATATATATTAAATTAAATGTGCTTGCGTTATAACAAAATATGTTAAAAAGAAAATGCGACTGAAAAGTCTGACTTGTAGTATGTGGAACATGCTTATATACACAATTTTAATTCAGTTGTCCTTTTATTTTGGCCACTTGTATGATTTGGCAGTGTCATCAAGCTGATTAAAATAAAAGTCATTTAGTAGTAAGAGGCTATTTAAAATTGAATCAAATCTTTCTAGTCATTTAAGCACTGAATTGAGCTGATTGTTTGAATTAGTTTTAGCCTTAGTTAAGCTGATGCTAATGAAGATATGATGTCTAAGCAGACACTAATTAAAGTATCGAAATTAATTTAGGGACGTGAAGCACATCCGACTCAATGAATTCTCTCTTTGATTGACCTATAAATCAGTGTTTACTTAGTTAGATGCTTTTCCTATAGAAATATCATTCAACAGCACTTTAATATGAACCAAAATGCAGAAAGAACTGAAATACTGTGAAATAATATTGCAAATATTTTTCCATTTTATAATATTTCAAGATTTATTTGTCTTCATTGTCACATGATCTTAAATCATTAAATACGTATTTCTAAAGGTGCTGTTGATTTAAAAATTTCCTCAGATGTTTGAAAGAAAACAAAACTAATTCGTTTACAAAATAAGTAATGTGTAATGAAATTAAGTGACACAGAAAAACAGTATTGAACAAATGAAGTAAGAAAGGGTTATTCAGCAACCCTCTGCCCTTCGTCATTGGAAATTAACACTAGCTGCTTCAGTCCAACATCTGCATTAGCAGGATGATGAAGATGAAACCAGGGTGGACATTTCAGCAAGACAATGATCCAAAACACAGCCCAGAAAACGCTCAAATGCTTTCAGAGAAAGAAAATCAACCTGTAGAATGGCCCAGCCAATTACCTG